GGGAGCCTCCTTATCACAGCGCACACAGCTCCACGTGTCCTCCGAAGATAGGCCCCCGGCAGTGGCCTGTCAGATCAGTGATACTTTTGTAGGGAGCATAGAACATGTTTGCATGTCATTTTGCCCCTAAAGCAGGCAGCAGTGTTTCTGGAGGGAAAGGGAAGCCCAGTCCTGTTGTGTAACTTGCCCAGGGTCACACAGCATTTCGGAACCAGGTGGCCCGATCTCAGAGCATGGAGGGGGCTCCCTTCCCATCTGTCCAGGCTGTTGCTTGGAATTAGGACCCTTAGGCAACCTCTGTCCCCCAGGACACTTGCGTCAGAAGAACCCCACAAAATGAGAAGTTGCGCTGTGCGGGTTTTCCTGCTCACCCCAGGACTTGGAGTGTCGGCAGATTTCAGAGTGACTAAATCTGCCTTTTTCTGGCCTGTTTTGAAATGAACGTGACAACGCCATCCTGGGTAGCTGCTGACACCTCCACCCCCGCCAGCCAGAGCTACGCGTGGTCGGGCATCGCTCAGCCTTGGCTAAAAATGGAAAGAAACGGAAGCAAGTATTCGAGGGCCGATCACAGGGAATCTGAACGGGTGGCTTCAGGCTGTTAGTAATTTCTTTCCACGGAAGCTCAGCGCATCCACGGAAGTTTGGAGGTGGGTGGGGCCGGGCCTTGGGCGCCTCTGCACAGAGCGTCGTCTGGCCCGGTGGGCCGCGGTCTCCGCAGAGACTGGGCGTCGGAATCGGAGACGGGTCCTTCGCTTCCAGGGAGCCCTGGGGCCCCTCTGAACGACGTCCTCCCGGGAATTGCTTCCTTTCCCTCTGGTTTCCCAGACCTTCGAGGTTCTGAACTCCCGGTGGGGAGCGGGTAGGCCTGAGCCCGGCCGGCAGCGTGGGCTGGTGCTGTGTTCCTGCCGGTCCTGGAGGTGAGGTCGGCCTTGTGGGGTGGGGACAGGAGTCCTCGGTCACACGCATTCGTTTTCTGGAGCCCAGTAAAGGTGAACTCTTGTCAGGAGGTCATCCCTGGTTCTCCAGGTGGGATCCAGGGGCCACCAGCTTCAGCACCCCTGGGAACTTGTGAGCAATGTACCTCGTGACTGCCTGATCAGAAGCTCTGGGGTGTCTGATTCTACGTCCCCCTGGGGATTCTGACTCACTCAGCAACAGGGTCGACTGAGTGAGGTCACTGGGGTCTCTCGGAGGAAGTGTGGAACCCCCTCCGTGGCTAGCAGCGTAAGAGAGTTGAAGACAGGAAATGAACCAGTGCTGGGGGGCGGGGGCTCGCTCCCAGCCCAGACCTCAAGGGGCCAGGGAGGAAGGCGCGGATTTTGATAAGACCGCCGTGCGTGGGCGCCCACTGGGTTCCGGGTCCCGTGTGTGCTGGGTGGGTTTGGACAAAGGCGTCCTCGGGGGCCCGGGTCAGCTGCAGACGGGGCCCCCGGGTGCAACGCCGAGCGTCGTGTTGGGCGAGTGCCGGGCTGGGCCGGCCGCCGGGGCTGGATCTGGGGCCAGCTGTGGTCGCGGTGGTCAGCTGGTGCTGCTCCCTGGCGCGGTGCCAGCTGCTGTGCCGGGTGTACCCTGCGGGACCAGCCCGCCGGATTCCTAGAATCAGGGAAGCCCGCCAGCCACTTCCCCTGTCCTGTCTCCAGGCCTGCCGGGGAGCAGTCGCGCTGCTGGCGGTTCTGGGGAAACCGATCTCATTTGCCTGGCGAGTTTCCGACAGCCGAGCCCCACCCGCACGAGGCAGCCTCAGAGAGGCTCCGCCCAAGCATTGGCTCTGAAACCACGCACAGAAAGCACCTTCGTTTTGCAGAGGACTGCTTTGAGGAAGTCCCTGGTGGCCTGTCAGCCCCTCAGCCCATGCTGCATCTGAAGGGGACAGAAGCTGCACCTGTGGCTGGCGCCCGCAAGGGCACCTGCTGTGGCAACAACCCTCCCTGCACGCAGCACCCCCACCCCACTTAGAAGCCCCAGGCACCGAGCGCTGAGGTAGGGTGCGCAGAGCCGGGGCCACGGTTCTGTCCAGTCAGGGGCTGGGGCTGGCGGGGGCTTTCCTGCCTTCCTAGGGCAGCGGGACCCCCGTCAGGGCGCCCCTGGGAAGTGAAGATGTTTCTGTGGCTCAGATGCCCGACCCGGGTGGGGCTGGGAGTGGGAGCTGCAGGGGGTCCCCCGGGGGAGGAGGATGAGGACGAGAGCCCCTCGAGCCCCTTGGCAGGGTCTTGGCCAGGCAGGGCCCCTGCAGCACGCACCTCCCTACCCCTAAGAGGCCCCCGTGTGGCGAGGCCGGCCTTCCCCGGCTGTCTGCGCACAGCAAGGGAGCTGGGCTTTATCTCCCAGCCCAGCTGTCGCCGTGGCCAGCACAGCCGCGCTTACCAGGGGTGCAGGCTCGGGGACCCGGGAGGGGCGGCTTCCTGCCATCACGTCGGCTGCCGACCTGGCAGTGCCCCGTCCCCTTCCGCCCGCTCTGGCGGGTTAACAGCCACGGCCAGCGCAGGTGACCTGTGCTTCCGGCACACTGCCCCCCCTGCACTAGCAAGAGCACGGCAGGAAGCCGGGCCACGTCCCAGGCCGCCTCCCGTCACAACCAGCCTTGCTCGGGCTGAAGGCACTGGATCCGGATGAATCCATGCGTTTGTCTAAGGCTGTGTTTCATCTCGACATTTAAAAAAGGAACACGGGATAATGAAGCCCTTGTTCACTCGTCATCCAAAGGCAACGAACGCTAACATCCAACTGTAAATGTTTTTTAATGAAGGAAACGAGTATTATGAAGACCCCTTTGTTCTGCGGTCCGTTCCGTCCCCTCCTGGCTGCTGAGACTGGGCCGCGCCCGCCGGCCCACGATCTGTGGTTATTTTTAACGTCATGACCCAGATCGTATTAACCTAAGAGGGGCTCAGTCCAGAGTGGCGTGGCTCTGGCACCTGCTGGCCGTCTTCCGTCCGCCTGGCCTGTGGCCAGGGCTGCTTCCCGCGGGGAGCAGCTGGGCTGGATGTGGGCGGGGGCAGGGCGTTGAGGTGGGGCCTGGCCTGTGTCCTGCCCACGGTGACAACTGTGGTGGTGTCATTGCCCCGCGCAGCACGTCAGCACCGTGAGACAGCCCGTGGCGAGGGGCGTCTGGGCGAGTCCCCGTGGCTTCCTCTGAAATGCAGAGACTGGCGCAGAGGCGACAGCCGCGGGGGCCGTGCCCAGCGCTGCCTGCTCTCTGGGTGCCGGAGCCCCGTGGCAGCAGTGTGCCCGTCTGCCCTCAGGGGAACTGGAGATGCCAAGCCTGCGAGGCGGGAGGGCCTGGCGGGAAATGCTGGGCCACGCCTCCCCTGCCGCCGGCCTGCGGCATGAATGAATGGGCAGTGACGCAGTCTCTGGCCCTGCCCGTAAGAGGGAGGCGGGAGGCCTGGGGAGGGCCCCGGGGCACGTGAGTCGTCGTGGCCACACTCGCCTGTGAGGAAGCCCAGGCTGTCCACCCGGCAGCAGCGAGGGGATGGCAGGGGGACTTCAAGTATTTCATTTTAGGAGTATCTGCTAAAGTAACAACGTTCAGACATTTTCAGCCAAACTTTGTCAGTGCGTAGTAGACGGCCAGGCATGGCAAGGCAGGCGTGGGTGCCTGGGGACACCCGGCTGTGTCCCACCCGAGTACAGCAGGGACAGTTCCTGGTTTTCTTCCCAGGGTGTCAGGTCTCATCAGTTGGTTATCATGGATTTATTTCTTCGGGGCTTATTCCTCAGATTGAGGAGTTACATATAATTATTTCAGCTGGGGAAAAAGCCGCTGGGGTTGACCAGGCCTGAGTGTAATTTCTGTCTGGAAAAGAGGAGCCGGAGACCTTTCCAGATGCTCACACCCTCCCGCAGCCCCCGGGGAGCTCCGGGTGTGTCTCCGAGGACCGTGAGGGCTGCGCCGGCGCTTCCAGGTGTAAACGCTGCCTCCGCGGTCGCCAGCGGGAGCTGGGAAGAGACGCAGCCACTCACCTCACCCCTGGAGAGTGTCCTCGCCGCGCGATCCCCGAGCCCTCACCACCCTGGGCGGCACAGAGGAGCTGCGCGTAGCGAAACAGGAAGCGAGGGGTGTGCGGTTCGCTGCTCCTGCGTGATGCGGCTCACGCGTGCTCAGTTGTGCGACAGCTGCGTGCACCGGCTCCGCCCGCCCGAGCCCCTCCACGGTCCCCGCACGCGCACGCACTGGCTCCGGGCTGGGCCTGGCAGGGCCGGGGGACTTGCCGGTGTCTGGGCCCGTCGCAGCTGCCTGGCCCCCCAACACCTTCCAGGGCGGGGTCTCAGCCCATCTGTGCGGAGTCGCTCGGGCCGCTGTGAAATATTTGGCGCCATTTTCAGTTTCAACGTACGCCCTTCAGGCAGCCGCTGGCTTGGAGCTTGCCGGCTGCTTCTGCGCGGCCGAGGCAGCTCGGCCACCGTCCCCCTGCTGGGCTCCTGAGTGGGGTCCTGCCAGTGGGACACCCCATTCACCTGTTCCATCTGTTGGGCTCCACGGAAGGTTCTGCTGGAAGACAGGGTCCCAGGGGTCTGATACGTCAGGCTGTGGTGTGGAGCAGGTGGACAGCCGTCCCCCTGGACGGGCTGGCCTCTGTCACCTGAGTCTCGGAGACTGCGCTCCGCCCAGCCCCGACTTTATGGGCGGGACCTCAGGTGTGTGACAGGTCGGTGGGGAGGGAGGGAAGGTGGTTCCCATAGAGTCTCTGAGGAGAGCGTTCTCTGCGGCGGCCTGGGGCCCTGCGGTCTCACTCTTTTGTGACTTTGACGGTTCCAACCTGGGACCTTGGACCTAGGGAACTGTCAAGTTCATTAAAACAGGCCCCAGAAAATCAGAAACCACCTCGGGGACTGGTGTGGACGGGAGCTCGGTTCCGTTTCTGTTGGACCCAGGCCCTGGCCCCTGCCAAGCGTCCCCACAGGGGTTCGTTTTACCTCTTGGCCGCCCCTGGGGCTAATGACTGTCCCACCGTGACCACCGCCCGCGAGACTCACGCCAGCCTCTGTCCCCACAGTGCTGCTCACGGCCGTGAACTGCTACAGCGTGAAGGCCGCCACCCGGGTCCAGGACGCCTTCGCCGCCGCCAAGCTCCTGGCGCTGGCCTTGATCATCCTGCTGGGCTTCGTGCAGATCGGGAAGGGTGAGTGCGGGGCCCGCGGCGCAGCGTCAGCCGCCAGCACGCTGCGTCGGCCGGGAGGGACCAGAGGGACGGGGACCCAGCCGGGAGCCGCTCTTGCCGTGTTCTGGTTTTACGCCCGAGTGAAGTTCGTGAGCCCCAGTGCCCGCTCAGTGGTGGTGGCCACACCTGGGGGGACGTGGAACATTCCAGCCCCACAGGGGCCTCCGCGGCCAGGCTGACCTCTCCCGTGCCATCTCGTGCCGGGGTCTGCCTCGTGTCGGCGCCGCGTGACCTCACCACGACCTCACCCGTGGGGCGCGCTGTCCTGTGGCTGGGCCGTGCTCCCTGTCGTGCGACGCCTTATCCGTGGGTCTGTGGGGGGCGTGTGGTTGTCAGTGTTTCTAGCTATTGTGGAAAATCCCATCAGGAACGCTCGCCTTCCGTTTCCTGACCGTGTTTCCCGGAGGGGTCAGTGTGTTCCGGGGCTCTGCCGGTGATACAGGCCAGGCCTCCGCCTGCTCCCAGCTCCCTGCTGGCCACACAGGGCCCCTGACGGACAGTGCGCAGCCCTCCTGGAGCTTGGGAGGGGCCCGCTAGGCAAGTACTTGGGGCCTGCGCCCGGCCCTCCCTCCGGGTGGAGAGAGCCGCAGGGCTGCTCCGCGCCGACCTCGTAAGCAGGGGCATGAGCAGGGGGCTTTGGGCCAGCCCGTGCTTGTCAAGTGCTTTATCCTGGGCAAAGCCCAGAGCACGGCGCCTGGCGCCTGGGTAAGTGTCCAGTAGGCGTTAGCTACTATCAAGGTCAGCGTCGTTGAAGGAAAAGAATCCCTCCTCATCCCCAGCAACTCAGGAGTCGTGACCACCTGTTCAGGGAGGAGGTCGGGGCCAAGCTCGTGTTACGGGCAGAAGAGAAGGAATCCACCGTGTGCCTGGCAGACCTTGTCCAGCCAGGAGACACGCTGCTGCGGGGACAGGTTGCTGGCGGAGGCCGTCGTGCACTGCTCTGATTAGACAAAGACAGGGCTGTAGGAGAGGAACCTGAGTTTTATAAAAGCAAACTCGAGTAGAGACAGCAGAGAGCTTTGTCCGACGTGCATGCATAATGTGTTTGTCGTTGGTTTGCTGTCGAAAACATCCTGCCCCCGGCAGTCCCTTCCGAGCTCTGGGACACAGTGCAGCGTCGGCAACATTCCTGTCTCCTGTTTTTCTTCGAGAGGTTTATTTTGTTCCCAGATGAATGTCCTTTCTTCTAAAGGACACATTGTTGAAATGTTGACCCCTTTCTCCCAAACGGTTGTGCAGTTTTATTTCTCCAGTGGGCACAGAGCCTTGGGCAGCCCGCCCCGGCCCCACTGAGAGCTGGTGCGGGGCCGGGTCCTTCGAGGCAGAGGCCTGGCTCTGACTGCGCGCACGCTGGCCACCGGCCTGCCCTGCGTCTGGGGACCGTGTCCACAGCCTGGCAGAGCAGGCCGGGCCCACGCACCTGTGTGTGTCCTTCACCCTGGTCCCGCCCCACTGGCCTTGAGCCAGGCTCCTCTTCACCTGCCCTGGGCACTCAGGTGCAGCAGAAAGGGTGCTGGCCGTGGGGTCTGGCAGGCGGGGGGAGGTTGTGAGTCCTGTGAGCTGCCCTCGCCCTCCCCACTGGGCCCTGCACGGCCCCCGTGTGCCAGCTCTGCCGAGTTCCAGCAGGGACACGGCCCTACTGTCTGTGTGGGACTCAGACAGCCCCCCGGCAGGTGAACAGGAGAGTCTTCTTGGGTGAGGGACAGGAGGCGGCGGCCGGGTG